AAAAGAAAACTCTACTTTGAAACAATAGGATAATACCCCGATTTAGAATCAACTACCAAGCTGCTATACAATAGGCTAAAGCTACATTACAAAGTCCCGATGCATGAAGTACATAAACATTTCAGTTAAGCTAATATCCCCATCTATCACATCAAACCACTTGCAGAGCTTGTGATTGAAGTATGTTGACACTTGACAGTGTAGCTTGCCTACCCTCTTACCATCATCAAAATCTGTCTTCCATGTGTTCTTGGATGCTTAGTATAATCTCACCATCTTCCCATTCCCCTCCTACTACTCCTCACATCCTCATAATATAAAATAAAGATTGTCAAAGAAACCTTACTAAATTTTTGATTTACTGAAAGAAACTTTAGAAGCTTGGAAGTTATCAAAAAGGCTTGTACTCAAAGCTGTTTTTTTCGATCAGTGTTTGCTCACTAAAATTACTTTTATTAGCCCATAGTAAAAAAAAAGAACTATAATATGTAGGATAGTATATAGAATAGAACAGTATCATATCTAGCCTATGAAGATTAGCAGTAAAAGGAGAGTATAAAGTTGGAGATTCTTCCTATGAAAACCTCCATTGCCAATGCGTGAATTGCAATATTTGTTGAGTATTACACCCGATTGCATTATGGATATCAATTTGCCATTCAACTGAACCTTCCTCCAATAGGGATTATTGTTGCACCATTTTAATTGAATTTTATTCCATCATGGAGTAGTTCTCCTTCCCCTATTGCTTTGTAAAACTTATTCTTAAGTTGGTCAGCAAGCTCTTTGCTGGCTCAGTGCAATATATCAGGTGTGGACGTCTCTTCCCCTCCGTTTTTCTGTCAAAAAAGTGGAAAGATAAAGTAATTTGTTTTACAGTTTTAAATCTGAGAGTCTACTCCATTGACTATATTGGAGCGTAATTAAACAAAAAATTTACCATCTTATCCCCATTGCCATCAAAAGCAATGTTGTTGGCCCAAGGAGCATCACCCTGTGCAGATCATGCCTGAAGGCATGCATCACCCGTCCACCTTTCTCTCTTGCTCCCTATCCAATTCTAGTTCCTGTCAATATCATTTGTTCATGACAATTAACCGAATGAAATAAACTCAACTAAAGATCTCGATAACCCATCTAAATCCCTCACAAGCAACATTAGACAAGGGAGGGAGCCCTCTATGGTTCACTTCCGCATTGGGGTTTCAGTTGAACTGACAAAAATCGGTAATCAGTTTTTTCTCTGCTGAAGAATAAAAAATAGGTACGGGCTCCCCTGCCGGCAGATCTTTTGCCGTGTAAAATAATATTTTACAACCTTGCTAAGACATACACTAAGACAAACATACCGAAGAATGTTACTGTTAATTTGATTAGATGAAATCATGAAATTGGTGTGTAGATTTTTATTATTTCTTGAAACTCCACATATAGCATTAAACAAAGTTCAACAACAATAATAATATAATAGTAGATAAATAAATTTTGGATGCAACTGAACAGATTATTAGTTACCTGGCACAAATCTTGTCGAAGTAGATAAAAAACCTGCAGGAGACAAGAAGCACCAAAATGTCGACCGTGGCAATCATCATCAACAATAATCAAATCAACTCGTGGAAACCTGCTGCGAGATGTCAATTTACAGCATGAGTTACTTGCTGCTGAGCCCCGCCTACGGCCTCCCTCTGCAGGTCAACAACAATCAGCGCCTGCGTTACTCCGTCCTATCCGCCGTCGGCTGCATCGCGCACCAACACCATCCAAATCCAGTAATAGAACACAGTACCAGTGTGTGCGCGAAAGCCAGGAGGGAGGGGTTGTGAACCGAAGAACGTACCGGCGATGGAGTAGTCATCCTCGGTGCGCCGAAGAGAAAGCAGTCGGCCTGCAGACCTTGGCGCGGAAGATCTCGACGGCGGGCGGGAAGCCGATGCCGCCGCCGGTCGAGGTCGGTGTTGATAATGGGCCGGTCGACGACGCGGAGCCCTGCGATGGAGTCCTTACACACAACACACCTCCGTGGTGCTGCCGGTGACGAGCCCGCTCGGTGCTTCCCCGCCTGCCGGCCCGTCGTCCATCGCGCCGGCAACTGTGGCGTCCCCGGCGCCCCCGAGAGGGCATGCGTGTCCGGGACTATGGTGCGTCGCGAATTCTGCGAGTGGGTAGCGTGCGGCGTGCGGCGGGAGAGGGGGCAGGGTGGAGGAGGAGATCTGTACTGCGTGATTGAGGGGCGTGCGGGACGTGGATGCGTGAGAAGCCTGTATCCCGTCCAACCATGGCCATCAAATTTGATTTAGGTATTTTATTAGTCCTTAATTTTAATAGAGATGAATTTCTGTGTGTATTTTTTGAGTGTATAATGGTTGAAAGTCCTCAGCGGAGGATGTTTTTCAGATAAATCTAGTATAATTTTGATTAATCCATTAGAGTAGAGATGCAATAGCCCTTACAAACCCCCTTCAGTATCCCTGATTGATTCACAATCTTATTTGTAACGTGTGAAACAAGTAAAACTAGGTTGTTAACCAGCTCTTCTTTTTACTTTTGGTTACAAAATATTACTGTAGTATAAACGTTCTTTGTAATGCTTCTATGGAACCTTCCAAACTGTTTAATCCTCTGCCACGTGTAGGCATCACTGGCAGGCCCATCAATCAAATAGGCAAAAAAAAATCAATCCTCTATCACTTCCCTGAGGCTCTCTCACTGTCTTGTCAAGGAAAATAGTAGATGGATTCAAGGAAAAAAGATAGGCCTCGTAGATTGAAAATTTTATAATTTGGACAGTTTTGTACCTATATTTGTGCTGAGGTGGTGATGTGATGAAGAGAAACGAAAAAACTTGAAATTTGATTGGCAATCTAAACAAGGCCTAGATTGAAAACTATTCGGATCAGGATGTTGATGGTGATGTGGTGGTTCATTTTGCACTTGGAGGCTCCTGAAGCCGACTTTCATTCGGATAGGATTGATGGAGGTCATTGGTCCTTCCACTCCTCAATGCTAGAGTTGACTTTTTTTCCCCTCATATTGGTCCTTCCACTCTAATATGCTGATTTTGAAAAGACCCTATATAATTACATTCATATGCTGATTTTGAAAAGAAACAAAGCGTATTCCGCTTTTTGAAGTCTCAAGGAAACAAAGCGTATTCCAAATGTTGTAAAAAAAGGTTTTTTTATCACACCATTGCAATTTTTCAAGTTTGGAGATACATTATTACAATTCATCTATTTAGAGAACTGCCATTATAATTACATCTCTCCCAAGTTCATGCCATTTTGTACGCCGGCCACATACATGGCCCACTGTCAGGTACGTATATGCATACTGGAATGCATATGTACGCCACTGAGCGCGCGAGGCGGAGCGCGTCGTGGTCAGCCTGGAGTGAGACCGGGGACTCGACCGCGACCGTGGCGGCGCGCCGGACCAACCACCGCTCCAACGCTGCTCTGCGAGGCCGTCGCACGGCGCCTCTTCCCCAACGGCTCCACGCCCGAGCTCGCCGCAGACCTCGAGGTCTTCACTCGGCGCGCGCGTGGGAGTCGGTCGTGTACACCCACGTCGCCTCCGCGGTCATGAAGAACTACAAGGAGCTCTTCCTCAAGCACGACGCCGACTGCTTCAACGCCTACCTCGCCGACGTCAAGTCCGGGAAGAAGCGGATTGCCACGGGCGCGCTGCTCCCGCACGAGAATGGCGGCGGCGTGGCCAACCTGCAGTGGCAGCGCATGATCAACGACATCCGCGCGCTCGGAAAGCTGAGCAACTGCGTCGCCGTGTGTGCGGGAGCATGTCTGGCCTACCCATAGACGTGTGCATGGCCCTGGGCGTTTGGAGATCCTGACGTTGCCGATGAGCACGCACTCTCCGATCTTGGGGTGCCGGTCACCGGCGGTGCCGCCTAGCGTCACGTGGTGGAGGACGGAGATGTTGTTGCCCACGACAGGGCCGTGGCGTGGTCGAGCAGGATCCCCTTGCCGATGGTGGCGTCCGAGTGGATGTCGACAGCAAAGACGTTGGACTGGAGCGCGAGCGCCAACGCGCGGCGGCTCTGCGTCCAGAGCACGTGCGTGACGCGGTGCACCTGCACGGCGAGGAAGTCCTTGTAGTTGAGGAGGCAGTGCGCCAGGCGAAGCCCGCGCAGGCCTGGTCCCGCGACCGTGCGGCGATGAGGTCGGCGCCGGCGGCAGCACGGATGGACGGGTGCGCGGCGAGCGAAGCGACGAAGAGGTCGTAGAGGAGCGTGGAGAGCAGCGTGGAGGAGCAGAGCTGGTTGGCGAGGGAGCGGTCAAGGGACGGGTGCGACAGCACCGTGGCGTAGAGGAACGAGGCCAGCGCCAGGCTCGGCGTCCGCGTCGCGGCGCGCCTCGGCCTTGATCTAGGACCAGACCCAGTACTCGTCGCCGTCCGACTCGGGGGGCGGGTAAGACAGAACGAGCGCCGCCGGCGGGGTGCTGTGGCGCACCCGCTGGGGCTGGGCTGCTGGCTCGGTCACAAGCGGCCGGCCGGCCGTCATCTTCGAGTCGCCGTGGGTGCCTGTGTGGCCGTCCGTGCCTCGCGCGCTGGCCGCCGCGGGCAAGCGCCGCTGCTCCGCCTCGCGCGTTGCCGGTCTGTACGCATCCATACGTGTTGCTGTACGCAGATACGTACCTTACAGTGGGCCAGGTATACGGCAGGTGTACAAATGGCACAGACTGCAATGACGTATCTCTGAACTTAAAAAATTGTAACGACGTGAATAAAAAAGTACTCGAAATAAAAAGTGACACCCTGTGTCGCTTCTACAGGGGCCCCGCCGCGTTCTCCAGTTTCTCGCGCGCGCGCCGCCGTCGGCGGAACCAGCCGCCTGCTCCGTCTCTCCGCCCCCGCCCCGCCCGCCGTGTAATCTCAGACCTAACCTAACCAGACTACTACCAGAGTCACTCCCCGCGCGCGCGCACCCGAGCCCCCTGTTCTGGTGATTGGTGAAGACCTTGTCGGAGACCGCAGCGATGTCGGCCGCGGCGGGGACGCCACCGGAAGGCGGAGGGGATCGGCCGTGGCAGTCTTACCATACCGCATACACCAACGCCAAAGCTGGTACGGGCGCACTTTCTCTGCTCGCTCAATATTGGGGGTTTTCCGGGGTTTGACACGGCGCCGGCTTAACACGAAACCTACGGGTAAATTTTCGCCATAAGTGCTTTACTAGTTGGGCCCCATAATGTTAGAACAAATCTGGAGCTGATCTTTCACTTTGCCATCAGATGAGTCAAGATACATGTAACATTTGCGTATGCCACTATATTAGTTCCGTTCGTTTTCTTCATTTAATGCCCTTTTCTCCTTTTTCACAATATAAAGGGCTATCGAGTTTTAGTGGTATGTACTGTTTTTGTCCAGTAGACTTGTACTTTGCTAGTCATGGCCACTGTAAGCGTATAATGTCATCTATGCTATGAAGTTTATTTGAGATTTTTGTAATTGTTCTCTTGTGGTGTTGCATTAGGAATGGAGGGTGTTGACAAAGACAAGGTGCAGAAGGTAATCTATGAAATGAGCAAGGGCTCAAAATATTTCGAAAATGAGCAGAGGAAGGAGGCAGTCACCAAACAAAAGATTGAACATCTCCGTGCACAATGTGCAGCATTGACTGATAATGACATATCACATTTTCAGAAGGTATGGACTAACACATTTTCATGCTAGCTTTTGTCTGTCACCTTTTTGGTCATATAATTTGTAAGCCATGCTTCAGTCTCCTACACATTGGTTGATGGTCATAAAACACCACAAAGATACAACAGAAAATATGTGATTCCTTCAGGGTAACATCAAATGGTCAATTCATCAATGTTTTCTTGTGCATTTGATATAATGCTCTTTGTTTCACAGCATCAAACAGAATCTGTACCAAGCCAATGTAATGATTAATGTATGTGTGCTCCATATTTTACTAATGCCATTTTATTTCTCCTCTCTTATGTATTTATCCCTACATGACAACATAATGTTCAGGTTGCTGAGAAGAAAATGTTAGAGTTGGAAGCTTCACGAGATCTTTCAAAGATATGGCTTCACACTGACATGGATGCCTTTTATGCTGCTGTTGAGACATTGGAGAATCCATCCTTGAAGGGAAAACCCTTGGCAGTTGGTAGCATGTCTATGATAGCTACTGCCAGTTATGAGGTGAGCATACTACCTTATTATGAAATATACAAAAAACTTTTAATTTAATCACTAAAAGAAGAAAAAATTATGTGTTCAGTTGTTGTATTTGAAAATGTTGATTGAAATTTCAACGTTGTGTTTCAGTGTTATAGACTGGAAACTGGATGGGCCAAAGTGGTGTTAGTTTTGTTTTTTTTGTCGTTTGATAAATGTAGGAACAGTAGTCCCCATGTTGTAGAGTGGTAACTGGATGGGCCAAAGTGGTGTTAGTTTTGTTTTTTGTCATTTGGTAAATGTAGAAACAGCAGTCCCCTTTATCTAATGGATTGTGTAATTGATTCACTGATTCAGGCACGTAAGTTTGGAGTACGTGCAGCGATGCCTGGTTTTATTGGATGCAAACTATGTCCTGGCTTGGTTTTTGTCCCACCAAACTTTGAGAGATATACTCAGGCCCCGTTTAGATCCAAAAATTTTTGGATTTTGGCTCACTGTAGCATTTCGTTTGTATTTGATAATTAGTGTCTAATTATGGACTAATTATGTTCAAAAGTTTCGTCTCGCGATTTCTCACCCAACTGTACAATTAGTTTTTTTTCGTCTACATTTAGTACTCCATGCATGTGCCGCAAGATTCGATGTGACGGGTACTGCTCAAAATTTTTTGGAATCTAAACAGGCCCTCATTATAGCGAGCTGACAAGAAAAGGTTTGTAAAATAATACTACTAGTCTAATCATTACAGAAGGAACTTGAAACATATAATGCTAAGATCTGCTGAGAAGAACTGATTATTGAAGCATTGGTGCCCTTAGTTTTCCAGAGGTATGATCCCAACTTCATTGCAACAAGTCTTGATGAAGCATACCTCAACATAACTAATGTTTGCACTGAGAGAGGCATTACAGGCGAGGCGGTAATCATGAGCCTTTCTAACTGTCACAGCTTCCTGATGCTTTACTTACCAGGAGCACGTGATTTGATTTGCTTATCAATTTAATCTCCTCCCAACATTCTCGTACTACATGATAATTTTTACTGATCACATCACACTGGTTTTCTTAGGTTGCTACTGAACTTAGGTCTGCCATTCACCAGGAAACTGGTCTAACATGTAGTGCTGGGGTTGCTCCAAACCGTATGATTGCGAAGGTCAGACCTTGAAGTTTTGTTTACTTCTCTCATTTGAATGTTACCTCAAAGTGGCAACGCCCTGTTTGTGTTATTTTTAAGGATTAAGTTCACTTTTGGCCCCTCAACTATAGGGTTCGTCTAATTTTAACCCTCAACTACTAAAACCGTCTAGCGGTGATACCCCAACTGTCAAAACCGTTCACTTTTAGCACCTGGGCGCGGGCAGGGCTGTTTTGTCCTACGTGGAGCAGGTTTGACCACGCCACGCTGGTGTTGACTGCCACGTAGGATGCCAACCTCCATCTCAGTGACATATGGGGCCCACATGTCACCCACTCATCACCTCCCTCTCCTCCCTCTCGTGCTGCCACCACGGACTTGCGTCGCGGGTGGGGCAGCTTCGACCACGGAGCTCCTAGTGCGACCGCCATCCATGGATGACGACGAGGAAGAGGAAGACGACAGCATGCCGCCGCCAGTCCGCATCCGCTTGGGCTCCCGTGTCGAGTCCATGGAGTTGCTTGAGGCGTCGATGTTCTTTGGACGAGTCGACAATGGCGGGGAGATCAAAGTAGCCGCCAAGACGGCGGCGCGGCGCCACTTGTGACGGTGGGCGAGGTGGACGCGAGCCTCGGGGCCAGCCAGCGGTCATCGCGGCGGGAGCGAGCGGTGGCGGGCGCGTTGAGCTCGGACGACAAGCTTTCAACCCTGGATGACAGGTCGGAGGGATTGTAGTGCATGGTGTCCGTGGCGAGGTGGGAGATGAAGCGTCATCACAGAGCGCCGGCGCCGCTTAACGCCGCCATCCCCATGGCCATCTCGAGCTGCTCCGGCTTTTGTGCGACGTCCACCATATCCGATTTAACGCACCTTGTACCCGAGCGCGGCCAAGATCTCGTCCATCTCTCCTCTCCTCCCTCGCCCCCACCGCCGCCACCATCATCTTGTCTCGGAGGAGCCCATGTCGCGCGCCGCCCCGCCGGTGTCTTGGTACTCGTGCTTCATGATCTCCGAGCTACAGGCCTAGCTAGCCAGCTAATAATTACTCGCGCGCTGCCGTGTTGCTGCTGCCACTGCCATGGCCGGCAAAGCGCGGTGTCTTGATCGCTTTTGCTAGGCGCGGCGAAAGCACGCTTCATCGCTGCGCCGCAGCGCCGCTACCTTCTTTGGGCTTGCCGGCCCCCGGCAACTCCCACGCCTCGATGTTCGGCGGTGAAGGCACCACGGCCCCGTCGGGCTCACGAGCGGGGGCCTCCGGACGAGCAGGCAGCCGCGCCATGGCTGGCGAGCACGCGCGATTGAGACGCATGCTGCTGTCGAGCAAGCGCGAGCAAGCTGCCGCGTCCATGGCGGACGAGCCTTGGGACGGGGACGGGGAGGCCCACCTGACGGCGAGGTTGGTGATGTAGACGACGGAGGGCGTGTTCTCCCGGAAGAGGCGCATGGTGGCGAGCTCGTCCGCTGCAGCTTCTGTGGCGTGGAGACCACGAACGCGGATGCTGCGGCGGCGTCGTGAGAGGACCGGCGACGCAGCAGGCGAAGCGCCACGATGAGGGAGCCCGCGGCCGACGACAAAGCAACCGCCGCGGTGGCCTCGGCGGGGACTAGCTCACGGAGCCGCCGAGCCGCGCCCACGCCACGGCGAGGGGAGGCGAGCGCGAGGCGGATGCGGCGCTTGGCTTGGTGGCCGAGGCATGCGAGGTGCTGAGGAAATGACGCGGGCTGCGTGGCGGGCGGGAGCGGGAGAGGAAGCGGTCCGTGGCGGAGGGGCGATGGCGGCGGCGGCGGCCATCAGGCTCTTGTTGCTTGTGTTGTTGTGCGTCATGAGGCGGGAGACAGTGGAAGCAGCCTTGACGCCGCCATGGGTGGGGTGTGTTGGACGATGAGTCAATGATGAGTGGATGCGCTGCGTTGCTGCTGCATGGTGCAGTGGCACTGCTTGTGTAACAACCCAGAAATCCACACACCAAAAATACCAACTACAAAATTTTTCTTAAAAATCCCATGTGATGATGAGTGTCATATATAGAAACCTAACCTAAGTGTTGCATTAGAAGTAACCCAACCTAAGTCATCACATAAGCATAGCATGTCATTTGTTGATTATGAATATTTAATCTCTAACAAATAAGTGTTGCATACATTTTGTGAGTTGGACATTTCATTTGTTTCATGTAATGCCTAACGACCCCTTTAAAGTAATGAACCAAAAGAAATCAAATCAAAGGTCTAAAGTGAAAACTACCTATATTTTTGTATAACAAAAACCACACCTACTTTTGTTATACAAAATGGCTAAATAAATTCCTAATATATATATTTAAGGAAGTTGTGGGTCACATATCTAAAACTCTAATGAATTTGGTGCACCAATTTTTGAATTCAAAAACCAAAACTAAATTTAAATTCAAACAATGGAGATGAAATGAAAAATAGAAAAGAAAAGAGAAGAGGAGAAGGCCTCGAAAAGCCTGGCAACTCGGCTTGACCTAACCCAGTACTTGTGTGACTGCTTGACCCATGCCTCAAGAACGCCAGCATGGCCCCGCGCTTTTCTTTGCCATTGCCGCCATTGGACCCAGCGTGTCACCACCAGACGACGCCCTTGCGCGTCTCCCGCCTCACCTTGCTGCTGCCACTGGACCCCGCATGTCAGCCCTACTATTCTTCTTCTCCACGTCCTTGCACGACCACCCATGTGACAGAGCCCCGACAAACAATGGCGAGGCGGGCAGGGTCACGCTTGGGCATGGCCTTGCCCCCCTTGCGCCTTGCGCACGCGCAACCACCACGACGTCGGATCGGATGGGATGCGCCTCCGATCCCCTCAATCTCCGGGCCATGAACGCCGGGCTCCATGGCCGAAGCTCGGCTATAAAAGCTTGACCACAGAGCCTAAGCGCTCGTCCCGTCGCTTCACCGCCACCTCGGTGGCCGCCCCTGACCCACCAAGCCAAGAGAGAAGAGGAAGAAGAGGGGGAAGACGCTGGAGCTCGGAGCACCGCCAGCGGATCAAGCAAGCGGGCGGACGACACAGCACTTGCCTCCCGAGCTACACGGCCACAACTTTTCATCTGCGCCGCTATCCTCTCGCCCTCAACACCGACGGTGAGCCGTACGCCGTTGAGACCTCCTCCTAAGCCCCACGGACACGAAGCACGCACGGGCGCACGCCGGGAACACACGCACGACCGTGGCGAAGCCACCGCGGCCGCATCACCGCAGTAGATGTCACGCCACCGCCTTGGCTGGTTTCTTCCCGCCACGGAAGACACCACGATCGCGATCACGGGTGGCGCGAGGCCTTTGGAGGACCCCGGAGGCCACACCGCGCCACGGGCCGAGCACCGCCGCCACCGCTGACGACTCCACCGGGGCGGCGAGTTCATTTGGGGCGCTGGCGTTCCCTCGTCTCGCCCGTCTTGATCGCTGGAACTACACGCACGCCGTGACCACCCCACTGGAGCCACGTAGAGCCCCGCGCGCCTCGCCGCCGTTGTGCTCGGAAGGCCGCCGCCGTGGCCAAAGTCACCAGAGCCCCTGGAAGACCTCTCGACCTGCCCAACATGCTCATTTGAGCCCGTGTCGCCACGCAGCGCACACCACTGAAATGGCCTATGCCGCAAAAGACCGCGCGCTTTTCCCGCGACGCCGGTGGAGCTTGAGCCGCCGATCGCCCGGGCTAACACCTTGGGAAGCTCGGCGCCTTTGACCCCACAGACGGCGATCGATCGCGCGTGACCGAGGAAGCTTTTCCCTCTCAATCGGACACCAAAGATCGCCACGGGGCTCACCGGCGCCGCCGTCGGCACGGAGCACCGCCTTGAAGAAAAGCAGGGAACACCCCGCCTCGCCGGCCGCCGGGCGTGAGCTCGATGCACATGAGCCAAGTCGGGGAGAAGAGGCGGTGGACTTGGTCCACCATGCGCCCTGTTGTAGGTCCATGGGCCATGAGCGCTGGTCCACCGTGAACCACACGGTGTGAGCCGCGTTGTGGACAAAGCCCAATAAAGGCCCACGACCGCGACGTGGCAGCATCCTGGCGTGCCGCGTCCGGTCGGCCCGCCCAACCCGAACCCACCGAGCCCGATTCGAACCCGGCCGTATTGACCATTGGCCGGTCGGCGTTGACCGTTGACTGCCCCACATGTCGGCGACACGGTGTTCTTTGGACCCACACGTCAGACGATGACGTCATGTTGGCGTCGTGATGACGTCACGCGGGACCCACATGTCAGAAGCTAGCGCAGCCGAGGTGATGTCATCGCGGCGTCACGCTGACATCAGCTGATGACGTCAGCAGCCCTGGCCCCACACGTCAGTGACCCTAACCGTGGACCGAAGACGTTGATTGTTGACTCGCCGTTGACTTTGACCGGACCCACCTGTCAGTGACTCAATAGCCTCGCCCCACACCGCCGGTGAGGATGGCGTTGATGACGTCATGTCGGCGTCGGTGGACCTCACCTGTCACTCGGAACCGCGATGGTGACGTCATCGTTGACAACATCAAACCACGTGGACCAACCCCATGCGTGACACGTGTCGATCGAGATTAATTCAGCCTTTTTCCATTTTTGAAATAGATTTAATCTTTGGAAATTCATAACTAATTCATACGACCTCGGAAAAATCTGAAACCGGGACCAAAATTCATCTAAAATCAAACTCTCGCCATGGACCCATGTTTGAGTGCATTTGGCTCTTTTGAATTTTCATTGCTTCTTTGTGCTATTCTATAGACGTCGCTAACGCGACTATAATGCGGTCGTTTGCAGACTCAGAGGAGAACCGGACGGACGAGGATCGTGAGTACCGTGAGGAGTACGGAGACGACTACACTGAAGGTGCCACATCCCATCCAATCTCGTAGCACCCATTACGCATGGCTAAAATAGAAATGCTAGTGCTTACTTTATTGTCATATCACACTATGGTAGGACTTGCATGGTAGTGTGCTTTCTTGATGGCCTCTACCTTGACGCAACCTTTCCCCTGCTTACCCTGTTGTTAGGCTAGTCACACGCTTGCTATTATATTTCATTGCCTATTACTTCTACTACGCTTATGCTATATTGATGCGTGGTGGAAACTTGTGTTAAGCGGACTATGGGGAGATTGCTTTGCGTGTGACTTGGGTGCATGGAGGGTGAGGGTTGTGTCGACCAAGTTGGAGTATCTGACGAGCACAGGGCAAGTCTTGTAGTGGGGTGCTACACAGGCACCCATGGAATGGATACTGTGGTGGGTAAATGGTATATGAGGTGGCCTTGGGTGTGATCTGTGATGGGAGGAGCCGGGGTGGAGGTCTTTGTGGTGGCACAGTAAATGGAAACCCCGATGAAGACATTTTGGCTTGGTCATCCCTAAGGACTTACTACTAGTACTCAGACTCACGGGAAGCCTTACGTACCACTCGCCCCCTATATGGTGCGGGACGGGTAGGACTACTTGGTAGGATATTGCCACCTCTTGCTAGGTAGATAGCGGAGACGGTGTGAGGGAGGTGCATGGGTGCGGAGAATTTTCCCCACACCCTTCCGAGACTTCGTGGAGACCTTGTGGATTGGCTCATGACTCACAGATTTGACTACCCCAGGCCGGACTTGGGGTGTACCAGGCTGAATGGTAGAGTGGCATTATCCTAGGCTAGCAAGCGAGAATGAGAATCGGCCAGTTTGACGACGGTCGTGAGGAAGGCAGATCTTGTGGTTATGTAAAACCTCTGCAGAGTGTATGGTTGATCGATCGATACATATGCCGACTTGTCGGCTATGGACCTTTCCTGGGTTTCGCTTAAACTAGATAGAAAGATGAGTCCTTCTTTTCTCCCCTGGGAGCGAGTGTTCGGACGTAGTCAGGGGCTACGGGCCATGAGACAGTGCCGAGAGGGAGTTGGCCTGTCGACTGAGCGATGGTACGGGTGTGGTATGGTGATGGTGTGGATATGGTGGTATGTCGATCCTAGGATCGAAACCTGGCTCGGGAATGGGAAAGGGGGTGGAATGTGTGTGAATGGTGTTAAAATTTGACCAACTATTATTATGAACTTGATATGCTAATACATAGGAAACCCTAGCTTTATAGGTTCATTTTGATTATATCCAACTTGCATCTAATTTCCACAAAGCAATGCTCATAGGGTTGGGAGTGGCCAATACAAATCGTAGTGATAAATTTTGGCACACAGGTTCTGCTGAGGAGTATAGCTCCGAGGAGTTTGATGGTTGAGGGGTTCGTTCCTACGCTCGAGTTTGGCGATCCTATCTTCAAGCTGTTCTGAATGAATGCTACTTTTTGATTCCGCCAATGCGGCGATGTAATAATCTATGTACTTCCGCACTATTTGTACTCTGATATTATCGTTGTATGGATGTGATATTCGACTGGAATCTGGGTAATATGGTCTACAGCGGTCTTATTACACTTCGACTCTGTGGATTTCCCTTCGCGGAAATCGGGGTTGTTTCAGCTTGCCTGACGCTTTCCTACTGGCTGCTGGCTCGTCAAAACCGCTCAACGTCAGTCAAAACAGCATTGCCCCTGCCCAGGTGTTAAAAGTGAACGGTTTTGATAGTTGGGGTACCGGTACTAGACGGTTTTGTAGTTGAGGGTTAAAATTAAACCAACACAATAGTTGAGGGGCCAAAAGTGGACTTAATCCTATTTTTAATCTCTGTGTGCCTTCTTCATCAGTATTTCATTGAATGCCTTGTTGGGTTAACATATAATTAGGTAATAACTAATAAACTAATTGGGTTGTACTGGAGTACTGGCAAAGCATTTGCTTTGCACAACCAATATCTGTTGCCATTGAAGCAGTTGTTTAGCAAGCATGACTGGGGACCTTTTTGGTTAACTCATCCTGTCTAGTCTTTTTTTTAATTGTCCTCTGTTCTTATTCATGTTGGTGGAGCTTATCCTACAGCAAAATTACAAGGTTCCTTTCCCTTTTTCTATCTTTTTTCTAGGTTTGCTCTGATATTAACAAGCCCAATGGGCAGTTTATTTTGCCAAATGACCAGGAAGCTGTGTTGACATGTGTATCTACATTGCCTATAAGAAAGGTAACTCCGTTTTTTACTTTATTATATAATTATTAAAAAATCGTTCCTTTTTGTTTTACTGTCCCATTTTTAACCTTGTTTTCCGCTTTGTATTTGGACATTTATTTGGTTATACTGTAAGATGTGTTGTAACCATTGTACACACTTTTCTCCCACAGATCTGAGGTACAAATCCTGATAATAGTTTCTCTATGCATTTATGAACTCACGTTTTATTTCTTTGCTTATGATGTAATGTTGTTCACTTCTTGATGCTGGCCTTTCTTTGGTTATTTGTGAAAAGGAAAAAAAATGGTTTGTTATTTCAAGATCTTTGTATGCAGATAGGTGGCATAGGTAAGGTAACAGAACAGATGTTACGTCAGGTTCTTGGAATCAGTACATGTCAGGAGATGCTGCAAATGGCTGCTTTTTTATGTGCTCTTTTTTCGGAAGGCTCAGCTGGTCTGTATGTTAATTATACATGTTTGCTGTTCTTTTGAAGCTTTTAGAAAGCTATTTTATCCAAGCAAGATCTCAGAATTCAAGTTGAATCCTATGTTTTCAGATTTCTTCCTTTCGGTTGGTCTTGGGTTAGGAGGTACAGAAACCCCAGAGCAAAGGAAAAGGAAAAGTATCAGTTGCGAGCAAACTTTCACAGCAACAAATGATTCTTCTTTGCTTTTCGAAAAATTAGGTAAACATCTTAACTTATTTGTGTAACTGAGGCCTGATGATTACACATCTCAATTGGTAGCATCTTGCCATCAATTCAGATCTCTTGTGCTAAAACAACTTAGTTTCACTGCAGAAGGCTGCTTGCTCTATTAGCAATTTCTTCTCTTTCTTACAACGCGCACACACACACAGCACTGAAAAAAACAATTACATTCCCGCGTATTCAAATGTCAGTAAACATTTTGTACATTAGTTTGATTTTGAACCATGCAACCTATCAGAGTACTTGTAAAAGCACAATTTGTAATACATTATGGATGTTCTTTGTAGAACCTTCAGAGGTCAGTTTGAACGTTTTAGAAATATCAAAGCCCAGTCTCCTTGCTGCTATATCATGCAAATTTATGGAAGTAATAATAAGATTTACTCCCTCCATTCCAAATTGTAAGTCGTTCTGGCTTTTCGAAATGCAAAGTAAAAGCATTGTATCTAGAAAAGCCAAAACGACTTATAATTTGGAATTGAGGGGTACCTTACCAGCATTTTCCTGTTATTATGATTGTATTTGTAGCCTACATTTTGTTGTGAGTTCTGTAGTGGTATATACCAGTACCTTTTCATGTGCTCAGGAATGATTTTGTGGGAATAAACCCTGTAAAACAGTAAAGATGTCATCAGGACTTCATGTGATATTGCACCTGGTGATAGGATGCTAGCATGTTTCGACGCATGACTCACCGCATTGTTATCTATTTTCAGATAGCCTTGCAGAAAATTTAACTGATGATTTGCAAAAGAAGGGTTTGAAGGGAAAGACACTAACACTCAAACTGAAGACTGCAGATTTTGAGGTTTGGTTCTCCCATTCTAATAGTTGTTGACTGATTTTTCTGTAACAAGAACCAAGAGAGATGTTTTTTTTAATGGACTACTAGATTGATCAATGATCTGAATCAGGTTCGGACAAGGGCAGTAACTACACGGAACTACATCAACTCCAAGGAAGATATCCTGGTCTATGCTACAAAGTTGCTTAAGGCTGAAATGCCTCTTTCTTTGAGACTGATGGGTTAGTGTGTGCACATCTAAATTATTTTAGTTGGATCAAACTTTATGACTACTAATTGTGTGAAACTCCTACAGAATTGGCTTTTAGCTTCTAATAACTTCTTAGTTCATATGACAAATTTTTGTTTGTCCTCAAGTTCGTTTAGCTGCTTTGACAACTAAAAGTCATGTGGTTCTGTCATAGCGCATGTTTTATTTACCTTATCAAATTGGACTGCAATGACTGTCATTTTTTGTGTGGTCATATTTTGATGTCATGTATTCTGTTTGGACAATACTGCGCTATTTGCATTTGATAATTTTTTGTTCTTGCTGCTCGAGGAAGTCAGACCTGACATTTACCCTTATACAAACTAATAGGATTGCGGATGTCTCAGCTGCATGATGAGAAGGATGATCCATCTACTTCAACACAAAAGACACTAGATATATTTTTCCGTTCATCAAACAGTAACTCAAATGTCAATGGAATAAATGTTCAGAGAATCACTAATACCTCAGGGCAGGATAATGATTCTATTACTCTCACAACCAAGGAGGAGTACTTGGTACTTGATTCTGGCACAGGTGTTTCCACAGATCAACAGGATTTCTTCCTACATGATGAGAGCTGTTTTATTCCCGAACAAAGGAGTTTAGGCAATTATAGTAATGAGGCTGTCCTAAGCAACCCGTTAGGTGGAACAAAGTTAGATGATGTGTCTTCCAGTGCAAAGGTTTGTCTGAATTAAAATTTCTATTATTTCACAGCTAACAAAAAAGGGTGGACTTTTCTGTCCATGTCTTCATACGCAAATTCATAAGTGAACCTTACTTTTCATAAGGTTGCGCCCACTGAGAAGTTGAATGAACCTGATAACTTGACCAGTCCGAAGGCTGTGGCTTCATCAAGCAAACCTGATCAGCAATCATGGATTAATGGCTACATTTGTTCCATTTGTGGATTTGAACTACCTCCAGGCTTTGAGGAGGAGAGACTAGAACATTCAGATTTTCACTTGGCTGAAACACTCCAGCAGGAAGAAGCAGTGGACGGTACAAGACACATATCAAACGAGAGGTATCTATGTCTGTTGTTTTCTGCTACAGATATGTTGTTTTCTGCTGCTGTTACAAACTAGGCCGTTGAATTGTTTCTTACTGGTGTGAGCTACTTTTGGTAGGACTTGGCCTCATCCGTCTGGTGCCATCCTTGTTGCTATACTAATACATGCTTCTTTTTTTCCATTTATGTTTTGAACCTACTAAATGATTCATGTTGCCATAGTAGTATAGCTTTATTTTATTCTCCAGATACTCAGAGATGATATGAACGTTTCATAACATCTTTTCGTCTTCTACTGTTTTCAGTAGGCTGGCTGAAAGACCATGCTCTACTACACCCACACCCAAGAAGAAACTGAAGTCTTCTAAAAGGAAAAGCCCAATTGACGCTTTCTTCACGAAGTGTAATAAGAACAAGAACTTGTAAGATGGGTATGCTACCCACTTGGCCAAGTGTTGTACGTGTAACTTTATTCTTGATGAGTGTAATATGTAAATATATCACCTCAACTCTCAGGTAAAGACGTCCAGTAATTATTATTTTCTTTTTTTCTTTTCTTTTTTGCTTTTCTTGAATGGGAATTGAAGTTCAAGATCAAAATGATGTGCTCCCGAACAGGAAAATTACCGTAAGTTCATAGGAAAAAAAAAGGACCGTGTATGTTAAGTGCATATGAATTTGCCATGTTTTTTCCTTTTTTTTTTGGATAGTGATCTGAATTTGCTATGTTGAGGACAGAGGACCAAACAAGCAAAGCAAGGTCAGGGTTATTCTCCAAAAGCAAATTAATGGTTTTCTTGTTATATACATGTAGATATCCAAAACGTATTGGTCATATTCATAAATGGAGTGATAATTATGTGCCTTTGTTAAAAAAAGAAAACAGAATATCCTCCCAATAAGTAACGGGGCCACAGCGGGAGTGAGATTTTTCGGACAAGAGAATGTACTATCCGGTGCTTGTACTTGTACCTGTCATTCCTTCACGTCACGTGGTCAGAAAAATTCAGCAAGCATACTCAAAGGGGAGGAGGAAGGGGGAGACGGCAATCATGCACAGCGGCGTCGACGCTCGGCCAGGGCCCCCCATCCCCCTCCCCGGCGCATCACCAGCTCCCTGCTCCGGCCGCCGGGTCCCATGGCCGCGGTCGGGGTTAGGGGCTGCGCTGCGGCGGCCAAATAGTCCTCACGGCCGCCTCCGCTTCGGGCCCCTCCCCGCCGGCGACCTCTGCAAGCGGGCCCACCGTGTCCGTATCTCTCAACCTGCATATAGCTTTTTGAATTTTGATGATCATCTATCATCTTTTTGTTTCATCATAAGTTTTTTTATGGGCCCAGAGCCCCAGGATAACCTATGATATGTAGCATGTTATGCTTATGCCAATAATTATTTGAGGTTTCTTAGTGTCACATATTCTCATTAGAAATTTTTTCTTAAAATCTTTCATATCACCCCAAAGAATGTTCAGTTGTTACTGTACCAAAACTCATGGCTTCTTCCTGAATGGCAGGAGAAGCTACGTGTTGATGTGCTTGTATCGAAGTCCACGCTGCAGAGCGAACATGGTAATTGTGCAATGGTTCATTTGCTTCATCGCATAACTTGGACTCCAAGATGTCACATTTTCTGACCTCAATCAAGGTCCTCAATGCTGCTGTAATCTAAGCATGTTGCCCAAACCACATCTACTCAGGTGTTTCACTTCAGAGTGAGTGTGTCGTTCCTGAAGGTGTCAAAGCTGCTGGGTTTCAGATCTCTGCCGATGACCTAGCATCACTCGTTGAAAATCATGACACTGAAAAGTTGACCGCGCTTGGCCAGCTGGATGGGATCGCAGACAAGTTGGCGACGTCGTTAGCTGATGGAATCACCACAGATGAGTGCAGCCTGAATCAACGGCAGGACATGTATGGAGCGAACAAGTTCACGGAGAGTGAGGTCCGCGGCTTATGGGAGTTTGTGTGGGAGGCGCTGCAAGATACTACTCTTGTAATTCTTATAGCATGTGCCCTTGTATCTTTTGTTGTCGGCGTTGCCACGGAAGGGTGGCCGAGTGGTGCCCATGATGGCATTGGAATTTTTACAAGTATCCTCCTGGTTGTTTCTGTTACTGCAACGAGCAATTATAAGCAGTCTTTACAATTCAGGGATCTGGACAAAGAGAAAAGGAAAATTTCTATTCAGGTTACCAGAGATGGGTTCAGACAAAGGATATTGATAGATGATCTTCTTCCTGGTGATGTTGTCTACCTAGCTGTTGGAGATCAGGTTCCTGCAGATGGCCTCTTTATTTCGGGGTATTCTGTATTGATCAACGAGTCCAGCCTAACTGGTGAGAGTGAACCTGTTGTCATAAATGAAGACAACCCTTTTCTTTTGTCAGGGACTAAAGTCCTAGATGGGTCATGCAAAATGCTGGTTACAGCAGTAGGGATGCGAACACAGTGGGGCAAACTAATGGCTGCCATCACTGAAAGTGGGGATGATGAAACTCCGCTGCAGGGTAAACTAAATGGAGTTGCAAATACTATTGGAAATATTGGTCTGTTTTTTGCCCTTTTAACTTTTGTTATCCTCTCGCAAGGGCTAGTGGGCCAGAAATACGTTGATGGGCTTCTTTTAAGCTGGTCTGGAGAAGACGTGCTGGAGATACTGGAACATTTTGCCATTGCAGTCACAATTGTTGTTGTTGCTGTTCCTGAGGGATTGCCTTTAGCAGTGACATTGAGCCTTGCATTTGCAATGAAGAAGATGATGAATGAGAAGGCACTGGTACGACAGTTAGCTGCCTGTGAAACTATGGGCTCAGCCACAGTCATCTGTAGTGACAAGACAGGAACTCTTACAACTAATCGCATGTCTGTCATGAAGGCTTGCATATGTGGAAACATCATGGAAGTGACCAATCCACCAGTGCTTTCAAGTTTTTCTTCCAAACTCCCAGAATTTGCTTTGCAAATTCTTCTGGAATCCATTTTTAACAACACTGCTGGTGAAGTGGTGATTAACCAAGATGGGAAGTGTCAGATACTAGGGACCCCAACTGAGGCTGCTTTGTTGGACTTTGCATTGTCAATACGTGGAAACTTCAAAGAAAAACGGCAGGAAACTAAGATTGTTAAAGTTGAGCCTTTTAATTCAACAAAAAAGAGGATGAGCATCATTCTCGAGCTTCCCGGTGGAGGATACCGTGCACATTGTAAAGGTGCTTCAGAAGTAGTCTTGGCTTCCTGTGATAAATTCATAGATGCCAGAGGTATTATTGTTGCACTTGATAAAACAGCTACAAAGAAACTCAGTGATATCATTGAAACCTTTTCTAAAGAAGCACTCAGGACACTCTGCCTTGCTTATCAGGAAATGGATAATAGCTTTTCCATTGATGAGCAAATACCGCTACAAGGATACACATGCATTGGTATTGTTGGGATCAAAGATCCTGTTCGTCCAGGTGTCAGGCAGTCTGTGGCAACTTGCCGGTCTGCTGGCATTGCCGTTCGAATGGTTACAGGAGACAACATAAATACAGCAAAGGCAATTGCTCGTGAATGTGGTATACTTACTGAGGATGGTATTGCCATTGAAGGTGCTGAGTTCAGAGAGAAAAATCCCAAAGAACTCCTTGAGTTAATTCCAAAGATGCAGGTTTGCCATGTACCTAATAATTTATCTTTAGCTTGCAAGTTTTTATCCATATAGGAAATCCTCATGTGCCATTATGCCTGTGTGCTGAAGGTCCTGGCTCGATCGTCACCACTTGATAAGTATACACTTGTGAAACACTTGCGTACCACGTTTAATGAGGTTGTTGCCGTGACTGGTGATGGTACAAATGACGCACCAGCACTACGTGAGGCAGATATTGGACTTGCCATGGGAATTGCAGGGACTGAGGTAATAATATCACTAAGCAATGAGTATAATATCCTCGAGATATTTGGAGCCTACAAATCTTTCATCTCTTAGATATAATCTTGCAAGATTTTGCAAGCTAAGTAGACCTGAATCTTGACTTCATACTCTGGTTTCCTCCTTGAAGTCACATCTATTTACTCCACGACTGATTGATCAGTAGTATGTACTTTGCACATGTGTTCATTGGTAATGGCTGCATTCTCAATAAGAATTTCCTAGAGGAAAGCCCATTCATGGGTAGAAGTATATCTTCAAATTCTGTTATCAAGGCCCTCCACCAAAATTCATAGAGGCTGCCACACATATGATGTGTGTTTCATCAACATATGATGTAATGCAATGTTGATGCAAATAAACAGCGGCCTGTATGGCTTGTTAAGTATCAGTGTTCAACTACTTCCTCCAGTCACAAGAACATGTTTAGGACAATATTTTATGAAACCTTAAAAATTACAAACATCAATGACTTTTAATTGTGACCAAAGGCTAGTAGTTCCTAGTACAATATGGGTTTTAATGCAATTTCTGATAACAATTCAATAAAATAAACATATGCAAAGGTGATATATCCTCTACTGGTTGTGGTTGCCATTTTATGTGTGTGTTGGGAGAGGGGGGCTCTTTTTCACCCTGAAAATAAGCTCTTCTGTATCCTCCATGATCTGAATAGGTTCCAGAGCACAAATATTTACTACCAGACTCTGTAAATTGCTTTATGCAGGTAGCAAAAGAGAGCGCTGATGTTGTTATTCTTGATGATAATTTCTCCACCATCGTAACAGTAGCCAAATGGGGACGATCTGTTTATGTCAACATCCAAAAGTTTGTGCAGTTCCAGCTGACTGTTAATATTGTCGCACTTCTGGTTAACTTCTCTTCCGCGTGCTTTACAGGTATATTTTCCTCTATAATCGCAAATATAAGTCCATCTAGGTTTTAAGTTAAACTTTTTACACTTTTACTATTGATATAAAAAAAACTCGACCGGGGGGGTTAAGACTGCCCCTGCAGCATTACAAATAAGAAGGACCTTCTCACCCGGCCGAGAAAACCCCCGAACCCCCGCCCCCACCCTTACATGGTGGCTTTCCGTTGCCCAAGTGGGAATTGGGCCAGTGCCCCCGTGCTTTGGTTATGGGGACGGACGAGGGGATTTTTTTAACCTCAGCCTGAAATTCGCTTCCACGGGGAGTCGAACCCAGGACCTGAGAAGTGCCGCTGGGTCACCTAACCGTTTGAGCTAGGCGCCCTTTGGCTTTACTATTGATATCGATGTTAAAGTTTTATATAGATTGATATTAAAAGATTGACATTGCTAGATTTACTAAGAAAAATACTTCTATAAATATAATTCTTTTCATTTAAAATAATATGTTTTTCTAGATATTGTTAGTCAAAGTGTGATATTGAAGACCGTGTTAATGGTCTCAATGTGATCGGACGAAGTTTTATTCAATAGTGTTAAGTTATCACCTCTCCATCTCATGATATACATGTTCTCATGCCAGGAGATGCTCCACTGACAGCTGTTCAACTTCTTTGGGTTAACATGATCATGGATACCCTAGGAGCGCTTGCACTTGCAACTGAACCACCTGATGATAACTTAATGAAGAAATCACCAGTTGGAAGGGCAGGGAAATTCATCACAAACGTGATGTGGAGGAATATTGTGGGGCAGTCAATATTCCAGTTTGTGGTCATTTGGTATCTACAAACTCAAGGGGAATACTTGTTTGGGCTTGAAGGCTCTGAAGCTAATACTGTTCTAAATACAATCATATTCAACACTTTCGTCTTCTGCCAGGTAAATCAACCATCACAAAATCCTCACTTTACCTAGTTTTCTACCGTAGTCTATTCAGTAGAGACTAAAGTACCAGAGATAAGAGAAACTGGGCAGAAATGAGGAGGCCATTCCTTGGTTTAGCATTCTAGAGTACAGGACAAGGAACAGAACAGATAAGAGTTGGAAAGACAGGATAATGATGCGATTTTTTTTTTCTAACAATATAGCTTTCCAGTGCTGAATCTGTGTATACCATGTAGGTGTTCAATGAGATAAGCTCAAGAGACATGGAGGAGATCAATGTTATCAAGGGCTTGCCACAGAACTCCATTTTCATGTGCATCCTCGCTGGCACCATCATCTTCCAGTTCATCCTCGTCCAGTTCCTGGGAGATTTTGCTAACACCACACCTCTCACCCAGCTCCAATGGTTCGTCAGCATTCTCTTTGGTCTCCTCGGGATGCCCATTGCTGCTGCCATCAAACTAATTCCTGTGGAACCTCATGGAGACGATGGACGAATATCATAATCATGTAGATCAAGAGCAATAGATCAGTTTCACCAACTGCTAACTATTGTAACCCTTACCTAATGCATAAGAATAGGAGCAGAGCACCAATTTGTGAAGAAACAGTCAGTTTGACTGCACCATAAGTACAGAATGGGTTGGTTCTCGGTAGCATACTAAATTGTATATTGAATTGTCCATTTTTTCCCTTACAATTACAAATAGTGCCTTGTGGCTTGTATACACTAGCGTCCATTCGGTATTATGAAATGGCATCTGGTGGGTTACAGTAACGTGGATTGGCACATAAGTTATACATGTGTCAGTTCTAAGTAGACTGTAAATTTGAATGCAACAGCAGTTATATCTCTAGCTTGATTCAAACAATTCATTTCTGATTTCTACTTGTCAGTGGAAAACTGGAAATGCTCTTCTATCCAATCACATGGTCACTGCAGTGCCTTTGTTGAACAATGACACCGTTAAAAAAAAAAAAAAAGACAGCGCGTGATGCAAATGAGCCCCTGGGCTGTACCATTACAGCAAATGAATATACACGCTTAAAGAGATGCATATGCCTAAGTAATACTATCCAGTTGCAAGTCACCAATTTGTTGCTTACAACTGGTATGTACATCAATCAGACATCGGTGAGAACCGATCTTATCAGCGCTTTTGCTGTCTCCAGTTGCTGCCTCGAATCGTCATCATCAACAAGCTCATCGCTGACATACCTATCAATCTCAAGGAAATTCTCACGAAGAAAGTCACGAGTAAGCTGCAGCTTTTCCAATGCTAGGGAGTTGTTCCCTAGCAACTTGTCACAAACGAAAAGAGTCATGCCCAAGACAATGTCATACTCTGATCTTTGCAGCGTCAACTGGAAGGTGGACAGAAGGACTCCGCTCACGCAATCAAGGATTCTGGGGCTTCCTTTCTTCAGGAGGATCGCCATCATTTCTGCTAGCTTTCTGCATAATGGTGAGTCCTCACCCTCTGCAGCCGGATTGCTTTGCTCGTCCTGGCCAGGCTCTTTGGAATCAAGAATCTCATTCTTTGCCACGGCAGTGACCCACAGTGGTAAGACAGAGTCAGCAAAGTGGAAGACGTTGGGTGCCATTTCATTATGTGGTCCAATTAGCCACCGGCATACAAGACCCAACAAGAGAAGAGGCAGCCATTGCTTCAGAATAGAAACTATGCTGAGTGCAAATCTTGAGCCAGCAAAGGACTCGACAGCTGGCACAAGATCAAGAAGATCATTTGCAAGGAAGAAGGCTTCCTCTGGAGGGCTTGACTCCTCAGGTGAGCTTGATAAGACCAAATGAAGTAGCTTGGCTGCGTATGTAAAGGAGCTCCGTACAAGCAACAAAGCGTCCTTCAGATCATCCCCCTTGAAAGATGAACTCTGTTCCTGATGCTTTTTGATGGATGATATTGCATATTTTATGTAGGATGATGCAAATTTGAGGCACCTTATTTTATCATCATTGAATGGCTTCATAGTTGTGTCAACGATAAACTTGAGAATTGAAGCGCCCAGCATAATCGCATTAAACGTGCCTTTCACTGCATTGCATTAAGTACATCACCCACTTAGCCGGCAGTAACATTATACACATATATTGGTAACAACAGATAGGTTAATTACATTATTTTGCATGTTTTCAGAAGATAATACAAACATTCTGGTTTTTTAATGTAACAGTAAGTTTAATAGATTTTTCACATCAGAAATTGTAAAATGTGGTGTAGCTATACCTTCAGATTCTCCTTTCTGCTGGTCTTTTGATCGTGAAGCTTTTCCATTCTTGTTCGATTTTGATGGTGGATTGTTAACAGTTCCATTTAGAAGTTTGTCGAAACAATTGAGCAGATGGTCCAGTGACTGATTTGCAGTTGAGGACTGAAACAATGAAATTTCCTATAGTAAAAAAAATTATCCAAATAAAGTAGACCTTTAACAATAGAATGGAAAAGGAAAATATGATTGATACATAACTGTCGGAAAGCTATCAACCCAAGTGCAGTTAGCAAATTTTATTACCAGTTCACAATGATATTCCAACTGATGATTACTGGCTATCAAAATTTTAGTAGAAACTGTGAGATCCAAGTGTGGTGGAAATTTGGAACTTACCTCAAAGCAGCTTCCAGTTTGATTAACATCTGGAAGGTCATTACATGTAGCCAGACTCAAATAGGCCAATACAGGTGCAAGGTCTAAAGAGTCCAAATATAGGCACTGCTCAACGTACACTTGAGAAATGACCTTCAGGGAAGACAATGCAATCTCTGAATAAGAAGATTGAAGAAAGGCATCTCTCAAGCCTTTAGATTTTACTATTTCATTGATCTGCCATGCTGCCCCCGCTGCAACAGCAAGCTCTTCATTACTGACTTTTGATTTGGATGACCCCTTTCCAACAACACTGTCACGTACCGGTATTTTCTTAAGTGCCTTGCCTTTCTTCCTCCTTGAAGATGCAACAGGGCATGGAGGAGGTTCAACTCCATAGATCTCAGCAAAATCAGAGGCTTTAGATTGCAGAGTATTAGTCAATGCTTCAAACAACTCATCAGACCAGTCACCCAAAACTATCAACTTATGTGCTTCCAGCACTGTTTCCTGATATTCTTCTTGCTTTGAAATCCTAGCAGCATTCACAACTATATCCATGCATTCCTCATGCAGCACAGATAGATCATCAGGTAAAACAACTGGAGCTATACTAAGAAGGGCAGCCCGAGCACCCTCAGAAACAGCAATTTGAAGGACCAACCTTAACTTCGCATTTGCAAAGAATTCTCGCAAAGCAGCCAAACTAGAGCGCTCGTCGGATAAGCTTTTTATAAGATTGACTGAAGCAATAATAAGGCCATCAATTTGATCTGAGTTACATCCTGATTGTGATAATGCGAGAGTAATTGAATATTTGACTAGATCAACAATAGACCTTGGGGATGACCCTTCAGACAGAGCAAATTCACAAAATCTTGCCCCAGCTGTTGGTGACCTCTTGATTAGTGCAATGCAGCGAGCACATGCTTCTTTTGGGCTCAACTTTGATGGAAAATAAGAAGGAACGAGGAGCTTTGTAATTTTTTGAGCAATGCGGGGATGATCATTTGCAAGTGAAGACAATAAAGTACCCAGACCAACAACCTGCAACAGACAAGGGAATATAAACAGCCTTCTTGAAGATATAAAAAGAACACTCTAATATGCTCGAAGGGAACAAACTATAGATCTTAAGGTTATTTAAGTTCATAGCATAGTTTGTAAAAAGTACCATACCTTATTGTATTGGAATGATCGAAGATCACGAATAGCTAAAAGAAGATCAACAGCAGCAGCTCTGATAGACATAGCAGTATCTGAGATCATATCGCTTAATCTTGGAAGTAGAACTTTCAGTATGTCATGACTTTGTGGATTGTCAAGCAAGTATATGAGACCATTAAGTGTTGATAGCCGAACCTCATTGCAAGAATCCTTGGACATGTCGTCAACAATTTTACTCAGAAATTTTGAAATAGTGGGGGCAGGGACAACTTCCCAATATTGGTTAAGAATACGACAGATTCCTTCAACTGCAACTGCTCTTATTTCTGGGTATTCATCCATGAGGAGCTTGTCTATCAAGAAGAACTGCCTCTCTAGAAGAGGATCATTAACATCCTTTGTCACATCTGGATCTTCAAGGGGAAACAAATCTAATAGAAGATGCAAAGCATTATGGCGCACATTGGAGTTTGCGACCTGCCAAGCAGTATCCAGTTCAGATAAGGCAAAGAAATCTGGCTAAATGTAAATAGCCAGATATTATCATTAATATAACATAATATATGCTCAATGATGAACTGTAAAGCAGAAAACTAAACAAATAATTAGTCCAGTTTTTAACAATCAAGTTGAATTCAACTTAAGCTTATCGAGTTTTTCATGGCATTGACATTTCATGATTTATTGGGGACATGAGAGGAATATAATACACTACAGATTATTAGTGTACCATAGTAACCAATAATATCCTACATTTCTTAATAAACCTAATCATAGTAAAGAATGATTTCTCAGCTCCTTAATGCGTATCATAGTAAAGAATGAGTTCTCAGCTTCTTAATGCGTGAAGTCAGGAACATAACAAAATGTGATAAAACGAATGGAGCATGTAGTGTACCATAGTAACCAATAATATCCTACATTTCTTAATAAACCTAATCATAGTAAAGAATGATTTCTCAGCTCCTTAATGCGTATCATAGTAAAGAATGAGTTCTCAGCTTCTTAATGCGTGAAGTCAGGAACATAACAAAATGTGATAAAAAGAATGGAACATGTGATTAGGCATCTTAAAACAGCAACACCTAGCTTTCCTAGGAACGCGATTAGGCACTAGATGCCACCCTGCTGTCAGACTAGCACATAGTGCCTTTAAGAACTCTGTTGTGGTTGTGGTCAACCATGTTTATATATGGAAGTTAAGCATCAGCAATGTTCAGTAAACTATGGGATGTGTTATGTCATAGGTTACATGAGTATTCTTCAGAGCAGGCTAGTATGTGAAAACATTATGTCAAAACTTCACATCCTATTAATCTTCTGCCTAAATTCAATTGAAGGGTAATAACATATAATCGACACAGTAAGCAATTACATTCAGTGTTTCTATTATCTGACAGTTTTATCCCATTCCTGCTGGAATTACTAGTAGTCACACACACTGCCCACCACCACAAGACAAAAGACAAGGCAAGATATATACCTGCAACGAACGGAACAGCACAGGTTCGGCAAGCCGGAACACCAACTTTTCAACCCCAGCAACCGCTCTCTGCTCGACGAAAGGCGACAGGATCTTCCTGGCCGCCTTGGCCACCTCCTTGCTCCCGGCGTGTACGGCGCCCTCCACCATCCCTTGCAGGAACGCCTCGCCGACCTCCCCACGGACCCAGCCACCGTCCTTCCACGCCCTGAAGATGACCTCCCCGTAGGCTACCACCGCGGCGCGCTTGCCCCCCGTCAACCCCACCTGCGCCCTGATGAGCTCCAGCCCCTCCCTGGCGATCCCTTCGCTGACCCCGAGCACGAGCGCGAGGAACTTCCTCCCTTCCTCGGCCTTGAGAAAGAGCGGCGAGGCGAAGCAGCGCAGCAGGAGCATCTTGAAGTCGGAGATGCTCTGGTCGTCGTCGTAGTCGAGCAGCGGCAGCGCGTCGCGGAACGCGAAGAGGCGGCGGAGGACCGGCCTGGCGCTGGAGCCGGAGGTGAGCGCCAGGGCGACGAGGTAGGGCAGCGTCTGCGCGACGAGGGCTTCGCGTCCCGGCGCGTCGGCGCGCCAGGCGAGCTCGAAGCAGGAGGCGGCGAGGGCCGCGACCGGCGGGTCGGCGTTGGCGAGGAGCGCGAGGCGGGCGTGGAGCAGCGCGAGCGGGCAGATGAGGTCGTCCCATCGTGGCGGGTGGGTGGGGTGTGTGACGAGCAGGTGGAGGAGGACGGCGGCGGGGCGCGGAGGAGGGGGTGGGGGCGGGGGCGCGTCGGAAGTGGAGCCGGCGTCGGGGTCGGAGGGGGGAGCGAGGGCTAGGGCGAGTGCCTGCGGGAGGGAGAGGAGGAGCGGGTGGGAGACGGGGAGGGAGTGCACGAGCTGCTTGAGTTGGGGCGGGGCTTTGAGTGCGGCGGTGGCGGCGGCCGGGATGAGCGTGGCGGCAAGCGAGAGGAGGTCGGCGGCGGAGGAAGGGACGGAGTTGTCGCCGCCGCCGGCGGGGGTCGCGCCACGGCGGGGGCGGCGGCGCGCGGGCGGCATTGGGCGGGAACGATGGGGATTTCGTGGTGGGGTTTCGAAATGGTGCGCGGGATCGACGGGGAATTTCCCAAGGGGGGAGACCTGGAGTACGTGACTGAGAGAGCAGAGAGGACTAGAGGAGAGGGAAGAGCACGTGGTGGGTTTGGGCTCTTTCGGGCTGTAGTGCCAGTGGGCTGCTGCGGTAGTAACTGTGGGTTCGAGCACACGTGTTCGTGATGGGCTACGAGGCGGTGCTGTCCGTAAAGATCGACCGCGTGCTTGCGATGAGCCCACGTGTTTGTGATGGGCTACGAGGCCAGCGACAAACGTGAACACAGATCCGGGCCTTCCTCATAGAAGGCCAGGAGAGGCGGGCCGAGACCCAGTGCCATTTCTCTATTTTTTATCTTTTCAAATTATAATTTATTATTAAAAATAAACCTATCCGAATTTGTCCAATCTTTTGGCCGTAACAGGGCACGTACTACACCGTACATATTTTTTTATTACACGGTACAACGCTGACGCTAACAACGCACGTACACTTACATCAATGAACGCACACACGTAAACTCTAAACCTATGAACACCTTCGAAGACTGGGCTAACAAATTCTTGAGATTGACGAAGTCATCGCAAACACCTCGTTGTCGACTGAAAAATTGCCTACCACTAAAAATCCAAAGCTGTTAAATCCTAAAATATTAGCTCCTGTGGACGTATTGGTATGGCAAGGTGTGCCACGCTGAAGTATGCAGGAGGGGTGTAGGCCGTGCTCAACGCGGGCACATAGCGGTGTGAGACTAATGCAAAACTCTTCACCATTTGCAAGTTACAACACTTTTCCTTTGTGGTCCCAAGATAATAGTCCCTCCATCCCAAAAATAAGCATCGAGAAATAAAAAATTCTCAAGTTTCACTACATTTTTAGAAAATACTATTAACATTTGTATCTTTGAATATATTTACTATAAAAATATATAATGTAAATCATCTAATAATATTTATTTGGTATCAAAAACATTACTTTTGTGTATATATTTGGTCAAATTTAGAATTTGTTGACTCCTCAAAGTATGAGATATGCATTTATTTTGTAACGGAAGAAGTATGCTTTCTTTTGCCAGTTTCCCTCTCGCATCCATTGCTTTCAACTTGAGGTCCTCATGTTCTCTCTCCTCAGGCAATAGTAGCCTCTATAAGCTAGACTGGTAACTGCGGAGCACCTAATATATGCACATGGTGGCATTTGAACGTAGCTGACCTGTGAAGTCACAACCGAGGCCACTGCGTTGGGCGTGATCTCTGGCTCTGCTTAAATTTAAGGTGTAAAGTTTTGGGTTGTCGTATGGGTGTTTGATACTAATAAAAAAATAAATTATAAAATATGTCAGTAATCCACGAGACGAATATATTAAGCCTAAGTAATTTATCATCAGCACATGTGTTACTGTAGCACCACACTATCAAATCATGGACTAATTAGGCTTAAAATATTCGTCTCGTAAATTAGTCGCAAACTATGCAATTAATTATTTTTATCTATATTTAATACTCCATGCATGTGTCAACCATGAGATAAAGAGTAGATTTTAGAGGGAGAAACTAAACGAGTCCTTAGTGTATATTTCACATGAAAAGCTTATTGTGCTATTCATCAGTTGGCGTGGCAAAGTAGATCGAGATGTACGAGAGACCTGTGGCCTAGAGCTTCCAACAGTAGCAACAAGGGCTAGCAACATCGCTGCCTTTGGGCCTGTTCGCTTGGAGGAATTTGGATAGTTCGGAGGAATGCTGAAGGAATTTGTGAAAAAAAAATATTGTTCCGGAAAAAAAAAACGAATCAAGCCGGTTTTAAGGGCACGAGAACAAAACCTTTGCAGCATATTTCCACTGAGTGGGGGACCATGCAAAGGTACACCCTGGAACAACATCACCTCGATCGAGGAACCAACCAGAGATGACATAGGCAACGGAGGCGTATAATTTTTTGGCAAAGAAATTCAACACCTAGTGAACAGACCTGCATGACATCCGAACCAGGAGAGTGGCAACGGGCCACCGTTGCGGCGCACGCAGGGAAACACACGCCACGCTGGCGGATACCCGCCGTTACAAGTGGTATCAATGCTAAATTGGTATGCTGGTTGCAGATTTTTGTAGCTGCATTGCGTCTGCAAACAACAAATAGGTTCCTACTATTTCTATAACAGCATACAACTGCACGCCTGCTGGTTGTGCAAAGCAGTGGTGACTTGGTCCGTAGCAAAAGTAATTAGAACACCGTCCCACCAAAGCCAAGGGCACCGGACTCGGCTCGTGGCCAAGCTTGCACTTCTTCTTGCCGCCCGATGAGCTCCACCCAGCCGTCCCTGGCGGTGGGGAATCCACCACCCACAATCTCGAACTTGAGATGAGCTTGAGGCCTCAAAGGAGGCACCTGTTGGCGATCGCCTGTGAGCATCCACCTGGCCTAGGTGATGCAACCTTGGTGGGGACGAAGCGAAGGCGACCTAATTTCCCTTGCCAGGAACCACCTCGGTGAATGACAGTGAGATTCCACCTCAGAGTCCTCCGCATCCACCTAGGGACTGAGGTGAAGCCACTCCGACGCACCAGTGGATAGGCTTACCAAGTTACCATAGAAGAGACGAATAAGGAAGCTTAAGGGTTGAGGGAGGAGGTTGCGAAGGGTGGCGGGGAGCTCGGTTGTGAGCGTCCCCGCACGAGAGGGGCGATGCGATGGCCCCTTTCCTAGGGAATGGGAGAGATAAGGAGACAATGGTGACATGTGTGATGATCGGTGGAGGAGGTGGACACTCATGTTGACCGCCAAGAACTGAGATGAAGACAAGTTCACTATGGAGCAACCAAAGTGGGAAGAAATGAAGTGGCAAAATTAAAGGGTGGAAGAAGATGATTTTGTGCATGCAAAAGATTTGGACAACTAAGAGTAGGTGATAGTTGCCTTATTTCTTTGCCACAAAAGATTTTCACTATTTTGAAGAGCTAGTATACCCCTCCTACGCTACAATTTAGGACAAACATTTTGAGTCATTGACACAATAAAAAGTATCATAGGTTTGTCTAGTTCAGTATCACGTAAGATTTTTTTTTTTTTATGATTTGGAGAAAAGAGGAGGGGTCGAGAGAAAAAGTTGCCTCGCAATAAGCGAAAGTTTGAGACTACCGAAGTAACCCATGGCCATAGATCATTGTACAACTTGTTGACATAAATAGAAACTCACAAATGAACTTTGTTCTATGCACAAACTAAGGATTTTTTTTTGAATTTGTTATATATGAGACAACTTAAAACACAACTCATTTTACATGTGTCTGCTAAGTTGTCTCTGAATTACACCACCTACAACTACAAGTCGGCACTAATGTGCATGCCATAATCGTCATTTGATATCTTTCAGCCCTTGTAATACCTCTTATTAGAACCTGACAGCCACGAGAATATAAGACTACTTTTCTTCTTCATCTCGATAATGAAGGTTTGAATTTGTACGGTGACTGTTTGGTTGGTTTCGGTCCCATATATTTATTCGCATTAAATCCATCGACTGCAATCTGCAAACAAACAGTGCTCCTTACGAGTGCGGGCCGGGTGTCCTGGATCAACTGTGGTCGTGTTTAAATCAAAGTTTTGGGGTGCTACGTCGGATGTTATATAAGGGTGTTGTATGGAGTGTTCGGATACTAATAAAAAAATAAATTATAGAATCGTCGTAATTAACGCTAGATGAATTTATTAAGTCTAATTAATCTGCCATTAGCACATGTGTTAATGTAGCATCATATTATCAAATCATAGACTAATTAGGTTTAAAAGATTCGTCTCGTAAATTAGTCGCAAACTATATAATTAGTTATTTTTTTAAAGTCTATATTTAATATTTAATGCATGCATATATTAAATATTCGATGAGATAGAAACTAAACTTTTAGCAGTCCTGAACAGCGGTCGACCGTCCGAGAGTCTGGTCAGTGGACCGTGGCCTGTGGGTCATTCTTCTGTTCCATCCCTCGCTGACTCGCTCCATGTTCTATACAGTGCTATCCACTACCGGTGCCAGTCAGTGCCGCTGGCAGAACAGAATTGAGATGAGAGAATCCAACGCAACAGGCTACACAATCTGTTCGACCCGGACGCCGGTGATCCTTCCTTCCTTTCCATTCCATTTCATCCCCGTGAGCCACGGCGTTTGATCCTCGAACCAGAACCAGTGTCACCTACTACTACTGGCTACTGCTACCGCTACCAACGCGTTGCATGCAGAAACCGATCGAAGGTAGCAGCAGCAGCAGATAGTCACGACCCTGCACCTTTCGTTTCGTTGATAAATTATAATTAAAAATACTATTAATTTATTTGATGTGAGAGAAAAATATTAATTATTGGTCGATAAAATAAGCCGAGCGAACAAATAGCCAGCCAGCATCTCTGTTACTGTGCAGACTGCCAGACTCACATGGTGGTGCAGTGCAGTGCAGTGCAGAGCAGCAGTCCAGCAGAGGCCGATCGAGGGGGAGTGGTGGAGACAGATGACGCGAGCAGCAGCAACAAGTCAACAACAAAAGCTGCTGCCACTGCTCAAGTACATCTAGTTTTTTCACTCTATGTCACATTAAATCTTTGATACATACATAAAGTATTAAATATAGATAAAAAAAACTAATTATACATTTTGATTGTAAATTAAGATACAAATCTTTTAAGCCTAGTTAGACCATAATTAGATAATAATTATCAAATACAAACGAAAGTGCTACAGAAATACTGATTCCTAATCGCGAACTAAACGAGACCTAGGTATCGTCCGGGCGAGTGGATGGATAGTGTGGTTGACTAGCTAGCCTACCAAGTACAGCAACCGATTAATCAGGCCCAGCCAGCTCAGTTGAACTTGAAGTCCCCAAAAGCCAAAAAGATCATAATGTCAAAAGAAGAAGAGAAACACTTCATATACAGTACTCCTCTGTGCGGTTCCTAATTTGACTCAACCTTATTG